TAAGTGGTGAATTCTATTCTACTTTGTGTGCATTGTGGTCAGTACATAGAAGAAACACTACAGTTACCCATGTTTCATATCTGCTCTTGAATTTTGGTAGTACCAAAAGTTTGAATGAATTTTGGTTGGTAGTACCAGGGCTCTTATCACAGCTCCTGACTCTGACCCCTCTGTTTCGGTCCCTTGCTCGGCTGCTTTCTCTCAGTTTGAGCCTGTGACTGTCTCACTTTTAGAGGACGTGGTTGGCCATATTAAACCATCAGGTTCCCCCCGTGATCCTGTCCCTCCACGATTTTTTAAAGATATTTTATCTAGCATAGGGCAGCCTGTTCGTGCAATTATAAATAGCAGTCTGTCCTCAGGTGTGGTCCCTGCTAGTTTTAAACATGCAGTAGTGCAGCCACTGCTTAAAAAACCTGGCCTTGATCAAACTGTTCTGGCTAATTATCGGCCTATTTCGAAGCTGCCTTTTCTTTCTAAGGTTTTAGAGAAAATTGTGTACTGTCAGCTGAAACAGTTTTTAGATGACAATGGCATTCTGGAGGTTTTCCAGTCAGGTTTTAAAACTCTTCATAGCACAGAATCTGCTTTAATAAGAGTTTTTAATGACATCCTTCTTGCATGTGATTCTGGTAACCATGTTGTTCTGATTTTACTTGACCTAACTGCTGCCTTTGATACAGTAGACCACGACATTTTAATATCGCGATTACAGCATATTGTAGGTATTGGTGGCACTGTTCTTAAATGGTTCAGGTCTTACCTGGAGGAGAGAACATTTTCAGTGAAAATCAGTGACTCTGAATCATCTGCTGCTTCAATGCCTTATGGTGTCCCGCAGGGCTCAATTCTGGGCCCACTGATTTTCTCTCTTTATTTACTGCCTCTGGGTTCTGTCCTCAGGAAACATGGGATTTCATTTCATTGTTATGCTGATGATTGTCAGATTTATTTGCCCCTGAAGCAGAAGGATGTCCATTCCATCAAACATCTCCTGGCATGTCTAGGTGATATTAAAGCTTGGTTGGCCTTGAACTTTTTAAATTTTAATGAAAACAAAGCAGAGGTGATGATGTTTGGACCCAGTGGCTCCTGTGAGTCCTCCTCTGTTGACCTGGGACCTTTGGAGGTTTATTTTAAACCTGTTATTACAGATCTTGGTTTTAAGGTGGACAGTGATTTTAAATTGGACAGCCAAATCAGAGCCGTGGTTAAGTCCAGCTTTTATCATTTAAGGCTATTGGCGTCAGTGAAATCTTTTCTTTCCAGGCAGCATTTTGAAACAGTGATCCACGCTTTTATTTCGACTCGACTGGATTACTGTAACTCACTTTATCTGGGAGTCAGTCAGTCGCTGCTCTCAGGTCTGCAGCTGGTTCAGATGCTGCTGCACCACTTAGGACAGGAACTCGACAGAGGGAACATGTGACCCCTGTCCTGGCCTCACTTCACTGGCTGCCTGTATATTTTAGGATTCATTTTAAAATTCTTATGTTTGTTTTTAAATAACTGTATAATCTTGCCCTGACTTACCTCTCTGAGCTTCTTCACCCATACATACCTTATCGGTCTCTCAGGTCCGCAGATCAGCTGCTCTTGGAGGTACCGAGATCCAGAAGGAAGCTCAGAGGGGACAGGGCTTTCTCTGTCATGCGCCCCAAATTATGGAACAACTTGCCTTTGCAGGTCAGAGAGGCCCCTTCACTGTCCACTTTTAAAGCTCGTCTTAAAACCCATCTATTTTACTTGGCTTTCAACTCCAGTGGGATCCAGTTTTAAATTGTATGTTTGTTTTTTTTAAACTGTAAGAGTTTTTTTTATTTTTTTTTAAATTGTTATGTTGTGTTTTACTGTACAGCACTTTGTATCAGCTGTGGTTGTTTTAAAGTGCTTTATAAATAAAGTTGGTATGGTATGAATTTTAATCTTTACTTGGTGTCCATGCTCCCAATAAGTAAAATCATTTGAAAGCAAAGACTGTTTTAATGTAGTGAAGATTATAGTCAGCTATTTTATTCCCTGAAGCCAGATGAATACCATCAGGTACACAAATTACAAGCTTGTTTTTAAGATGTACAGCTCTGGATGGTGTTTAATTTTCTGCTCATAAAGACCTGGAAATATTCTGAACTGGCTTGCTAAAACTCAAGTTATTTATAAAGGCCTCATTAAAGATATCAAATTTTACACAACTGTATTGTGTTGTAATTTTTGCTTAAAAAAATAATAAATTTCTCTAATAGTAAGCAGTGTGCAATGATCACTTTTTGTTTTTATTTAATAAAGTTTGTGAGGAGGAGTGTAACCGAAATCACCCATTAACTGATGGTTAAGACTTTGTAACCCTTACATCTTTCAGCTTTGGGTTGGATTATGAACTAAAATAACTTAAATGGAGCATTTGGGGATCTGCAGGTCTAACTGCTGTGCAGACTTTCCAACACATAAAGTGTTAAAGCTGTATATAATAAAAAGATTGGAAAGATGGAGAGGAATCAGCCTTGTGTTTTGTCTCTATGACAACAAGAGCTGCAATGCTGCTATGGCGACAGCACACATAAAAAACTATCTATGAAGTGTATCATTGAGGAGCCGGGTAGAGAGGCAGGTGAAGGTCTGAACAATGAGGCTGCTCAACCTCATGTTCTTTCTTTTTGTCATCATTTTCTGCTCACGTCACTCCTTCTCTGCTCCTGCATGTCATATGCTCTTCTCTGTTTATAGTGAATCATTTTACATATAAATATGATTTTCATATTTTGGCATTTAGGCATATTTTGTATTTTGAAAGTATTTTAATTGAGTAAATGAAACAGAAACTACTTGTGACAGAATGTGGCATGTTACTTTATCTAAGAGAAAAACAACTAAATAAAACCCATCCTGTCTTTTTTGCTCAATTTTAACTTTAACATTAATTAAACATAATTAAAAATTATGCTGTGCCATGATACTCCAACTACTTCCTGTCATTTTCTTCTTCATGGTTTCCACCAGTGGCAACATCGGTTGCAAAATGTTTTTTTTGTTTGTGTTTTTTTTGCAGTTTTTTTTTTTTTTGCAGTTTTACGAAATAAACCATCTCATCCTAGCTCCAAAACATTTTATTGAAAAGCGAACGTCTTTGCAAAATGTATGATTTTACATTTGGCAAAATTATTTTTGAGATATCACATTGTGAAATTTTATGGTCAGTGGAAGTGCAACTGCTGAGATATGCAGTGATTATTTGTTTTGTGTTTTCCATTTTCTAAACTCTTGACCATTTCTTTCAAGTGTTAAATAAAATCTGCTTATATTTGTGCTTTCTGTTGTTTTTGAGTCGGTATCCTGCCATTCAAAGGGCAACAGCTTCATTAATCAGCCCTCAGAATGCAGTTGCAGTATGCATTCTGAATTCAGAATGCATACTGCAAGAATATAACAGTTGCACCTTTCCCAAAAGCTGACAAACTTTTCTTGACTAAAAACATATTTTGTTCTCTTTGTCAGCTGCCAGAGTGTGGATTCTATGGGATGTATGAAAAGATTCTCTTGTTTCGTCATGACCAGACATCAGACAACATGCTGCAGCTGCTGCGCTCTGCATCACAGATCCAGGAGGGTGACCTGGTGGAAGCCATTCTGTCAGGTGAGAAAGGAGGAAGAGCGTTACTGCATTGCCAAACAGGCAAAACACTCTGGATATTGTGGAATACATTTTTGTGAGTTTGCAAAAGTGTATGATAGGTCTTGCATATCATTTTGTTGAACAAACAAATCCAGGTCTCCATGAGAATTGATCAGTTAGGAATTCTGATTCTGAAGATCTGCTTCAGTACTCTGACCAAACAGACCAGATGTCCTGAATAATATTCTGGTAAATGTAAACCCAATCTGATGACTTCCTATAGTTTGTATAATATGTGAAATATTAAAAAAACAATATGTGATATTACACACACTGATACCATGCAGATCTAGTTGTTTGTCAGTTTCTAGAGCCTAACTTAGACACTTAGAATCTAAGTGTCTAAGTTAACCACTTAAAGCCATGTCTTGCTTGTAATATGTTTCTTAATTAAAAGTAACGTTTACTGCATTCTTTAGGCTGAGATGATTTTCCTCGCATTTTAAAATCACAGGCAGACCTGCAGTAGGGTTGTTTCAGTAGCACCTGACAAAGAGAAATGGCACAAACTGACAAAGTGGCTATTAGGCATGTTTGAATCAATTCCAGAAATGTTTGTCTGCACCAGAGAGTGTACTGTTGTGGGCTCACATCCTGAAACTGATGTCAATTCTTTGAGTGAGGTCCTCATCTGTCCTTCAGACTGTCTCTGGGCTCAAGTACTCAGTTGTTTATACACAGCAGCACTGACAGTCAGACCACTGCCGTTTCCCAACGTCTGTATACACTACCAGCACAGCACAGTTGAGTTTGTGTGGGAGTGTGTTTTAATTTGTCACCTGGCAAGGTGAGAAATATTAAAAAAAAAAAAAAACTTCAACAAATGCTACGTTGTGAGGACCCACACTTCTAATAGGGCCCAGAGCTCAGGCCCCAGGAGGACAAGCACTGTTTTTGGGATAGGGGCTATTTTTAGGGTGGGTGGATGGATGGATGGATGGATCTGATAAACTGAGTACCCAGTCAGTTACCTTAAATTATAACACTATTCAGCACATTTATCAAATACCTAAAACAGTTTGAATTAGCTTTATTTTAAAATAAGGAGATCTTTTAAAAGTAATATTTCTACAAGTAATATTTTTCTACAAGTTCACAGTTATTATGATCTGATCTTCTGCAGCTTCAGCCACTATGGAGGACTTCCAAATCCGTCCACACAGTCTGTTTGTTCATTCATACAGAGCTCCAACTTTCTGCGACCACTGCGGTGAGATGCTGTGGGGTCTGGTACGGCAGGGGCTCAAATGTGAAGGTAAGAAAGTTTAGGCTCAAAAGCAGAACATGATGAAAGAAAGGAAAACCCAGAGTATAATAACTAAAAAACAAAACGAAAAAAACTTCCTGTTGGACTTTTGTTTTCCAGGATGTGGTCTCAATTATCACAAACGCTGTGCATTTAAAATTCCCAACAACTGCAGTGGGGTGAGAAGGCGTCGCAATTCAACGGTTTCACTAACAGGAGGAATTGTTAATGTGGGCCGCCCCCTCTCTGCTGAGCCATCACCTCCCCACTACACAGATGATGCTTTGCTGGTCAGTTTTATTGTAAGAGAAGAAGAAAAAAATGTAATGTTATTTTTAGAGAAATAACTGACTGCATTGTCTTATTGTGTATGTTCATTATGGTACAGTCTCCTGTAAGTCCCAATGTTGAGGTAAGTCCCTCTAAGTTCATTCTTAGGAATTTAAAAATTAGAGTGTGAATTTGTGTAATGAATATATTCAGCATAAATGTTTTTTTTTGTACAAATGCAGTAGCAGGCTTTTACAATCTAGAGGTTTTTTAGTTATAACTTAAACTTACCATTTGTTTAGAACAAAATAAGAGATTTCGAACTATGAAAATATTTTGGGTAATATCAAGATTATAATGTGGACAGAAAAATAACAGTTAGATCAGGGGTGGCCAATCCTGGTCCTCGAGGGCCGGTGTCCTGCAACTCTTAGATGTCTCTCTGGTTCAACACACTTGAATCCAACAGCTACAGTCAGGTTCTCTAGAGTCCTGCTAACGACCTCATTATTTGACTCAGGTGTGTTGAAGTAGAGACACACCTAAAAGTTGCAGGAGACCGGCCCTCCAGGCCTGGAGTTGCCCACCCCTGAGTTAGATGTTGAAATAATCCTTAAGGTAATTAAAATAAAACTGAGTAAAGCCTGAAAGTACAAAATAGACTCCAGTATTGTTTCTATAATAAAAGCTGAATATGTAGCCTTAAACCACACTATAGCACATCACTTTTGTCATGCTAGCCTCCTTTGCTTTAATAATAAAACAAATGAATCATTCTGTTTTGTTTCCTTCAGTGTGTCAGAATTATAATTGTTTTTAAAAAATGTCACGTCACCAGCAAACTTCATGGTTGTTTGTCTTTGCGACAGAAGAACCAGTTAGAGTATTACCCTGGCAGGGAGCGGCGAGCTAGCACCCAGTCATACATCGGACGCCCCATTGAGCTGGACAAAATCCTACTGTCAAAGGTCAAGGTTCCCCACACATTCCTAATCCACTCATACACCCGGCCAACTGTGTGCCAACACTGCAAGAAACTGCTGAAAGGCCTCTTCAGACAGGGTCTCCAGTGCAAAGGTATGTAGCGATCTTAACTTTTAAGTCAGTACCTGTACTTAAATGTCCTAAAGTACCTTATTATGGTGGGGGTTGGTGAAGAGTAACTACCTGGTTCAGTAGCAAGCTTACTCACTGTAACGGTGACCTTCTCTGTTCTTGTCTTTCTCAGATTGTAAATTTAACTGCCATAAACGATGTGCTCTGAAAGTGCCAAACAACTGCCTTGGAGAAGTTTCCCGAAATGAAGGCAAGTTTCCACACACAAAACCATCAGAGCTCATTTCATACTTACACATATAGATGAATGGATTCTCTTGCTAAAACAATCTGTACAACAACCCTGACAGGCCAAGCTATTCAGGTTGGCCAGGTATTTCTGGACCTTCACTCTACAGCCAAGCTTAATGTAACTAATCAAGTATAAACAAATAGATAAATAAAACTATACAAAGATGATTGGATGACAAAATCAAATGTGAAAAACTGATTTTATATGAGCTTGTTTATCTTTAAAATGGAACTATTTCCAAAAGTAAGTATATTTAGTTTTTAAACAACATAGCCTCAAATCACATAAATGTGCTTTAACCAGTGACAAATGTTTGTAACATTATTTTCCAATAAAAAATCTATTGTATAATTAAAATCTTTTTCCAGCTCCTTTAGGTAAGTCACTCACATTAGTTGAGGCATGTCACCGATTTCTCATTGTTAAATCTATTTTTCATCTAACTGTTGTCAGAGCATTGCTAACTCTGACGAATTTAATTTCATGGGTTTCATTCCCAGTTTTTTTTTTTTTTTTTTTTTTTAAATTGCATTCTAGTCTGAGTTAAATTCTTTATTGTTTGACTTTAATTGTTGTGTTACAGATCTTCTGAGCCCAGGAGCAGAGTTGGATGCTGTGATGGTGGAGGGTTGCCTTGACGACCCCAGTGGTGACCGACGTGGTAGCCTCCTTGATGACATGGATGAAGCACTAACTTCAGATGGGGGCTTAATGCTGGACACCGGATCTGCTGACCTTAGTGACCTGCGTGACCCTGACCTGGATGACTCCAACCGTGCCATCAGGTAAACACTCCAACAATTCATCCACAGAAGCTGGAACAGAACCAGGCTGAGGCTGTGCTTTGTCTGTCTGCCTGCAGCCCGTCCACCAGTAACAACATCCCACTGATGCGAATTGTTCAGTCTGTCAAACACACCAAGAGGAAGAACAGCAATGTGATGAAGGAAGGCTGGATGGTTCACTACACCAGCAAGGATACTCTTGTAATTGATTAACACCTATGCTTTTCACAAATTGTGGAATATTTTACTCGGTTGAATACTGTTCTTTATTTTTTTTGACAAAAAACATTATTTGCTTAGTAGCACAATTTGAGTTTGTGGCTGAAACAGTTAATTGGATTAATTGTGATAAATCAGTTATTGAAATAATCAATGATTATCAAGTAATTTTGTAACTGATTGGTCGTTAATTGGAGTATACAGACACAGAAAAGGCAATTTGCTGACACTTAGCTGCAATTAAGGCATAACTTTTATTAAAATTTTTATATACTGCATTTAAAATAAAAAAATATTGTAGCAGATGATCAGACGTTCACTTATGAAATGCTGTTACTACATTTATCCAAATAAATAATTTTATGTAAAAACTGAATTATTCATGGGCTTTTTGTATTTTTTTAAAAAATGTGTTTCTAATACTAAATAAAATAAACTTAATTGGTTCAATGAAAAATCTGCAGAATGTGCCATTTTTTATCCAGTTAATAGATCACTCATCAAAACAATCCATAGGATGTTTGATTACTAACATAATCATTAGTTGCAGTCAAATTTAAGTTTCAAATGATGTTTAGAGAATGTTTGCTCCTTTTTCGTAGAAAAGGTTTTTAATGACAGAGTAAAATCCAAAATTATTTTTCTACCAAAACAGCCTTTTGATACTGGCGTTTCTCAGTTATTGCTGGTTATGTTTTCTTTCCTCTGCTGACGTCTCTTTTTCTCTCTGTTTCAGAGAAAACGCCATTACTGGCGACTGGACAGTAAATGCATCACCTTGTATCAAAATGATACAGGAAGTAAATACTACAGGGTAGGATTCACACTACCAACCTTTTTGATTATTGAGGAAGAATCACATTCTTTGATATAAATGTGTTGACTAGGCATTTTGAGCTCTAACAGGACTAATCGACTGAGGAACTTATTTGTCTGTCTGTCTGTCATCTTCAGAATACATATTTTATTACCCCTTACATTTGTTTCATAACAAATATAAAAACAAGGTACATAAAACCTGAAATTAATAATCTCAGTGAAATCTCTTTGTCACATAATTATGCTTTCAACTGAGTATTGTATTGTGAGGCAGTATTCTTGCTGCTGCCATGTTACTCTTTTATTCAATATCTTATGTCCTTTAGAAGCTTGAAGGAGAACATCTTGCAGCAGCAGGGTGAAATAGCTTGATTTTATTTTCCAGTTGTTGCCATGGTGATTCAAGATGTCAAGGCTTCACCACGATGGATTTGTATAGCTCTCATGCTCACTCTGAACTTAAAAATACTCAGAATTCTTAAACCACATTGAAGTCAGTGTTGTGCAACCAGATACTATTCTTTCCAATTCAGAGCAGTGTTAATTTTGACAACATATTTTTATTCATTTAGTTTTAATCTTAGTCTTTTCCCTAAAATGTAATTTAGTTTTAGTCACAATTCAGTTCAATCTCATCATAATCATTAGAAAAGGTATCGTCATCATCAACAAAATGAACACAGATTCAGACTAAGGGGCTTCAGTAAACCCAGACATTATGGAAGCTCCTTTCTGAATTCTACTCACCTCCCAGATGCAAATTCAAGAGAAACCATACACCATCAAGAATATGTATCTTCACAAGTTGTGCTCCATTTATTTCCTTATCTGTTTTCAGGAGATTCCATTGTCAGAAATCCTGTCTCTGGAGCCAGCTCAGAACTTCTCTCTGCTTCCAGAAGGAGCCAACCCTCATTGTTTTGAAATCACTACAGCAATGCTGGTTTACTATGTCGGAGAGAACCTGTTGAGAGGCGAATCATCCATGACTGGCAGTAGCATCCTGGTGAGAGAATGATTTGAATTCTATTTGACGTGAAATGATGTAAAATTGGCTTTCAGTGCATGAGGGTCTGATGCACCCACATTGGTGTTTAAATGATTTATCAGAACATAAGTAGATTGTATTATGAGCGTGCCTTCTTCATCCTTTTGCGTAGAAGCCAATGTATTTTCTCAATCCCAGCATGCTTGGTGTTGGTTACAATCTGTATTGATTACTTTCAATGAATCCCAGCGTTTCAGTAATAATTGAAAGTAATTCTAACATGTAGAAAATCATTTGGTTGTTATTAGCACTTTAGAATCTTCATAGAAAAAGACAAATGCAATAGCTGCATTTCCATTAACAACAAAAACTGGTTTGGAAGCGTCTTCACAATCTGCCTTTTGCAGACAATGTGGTTCTGTGGCTTCATCACACCATGATCCACGGCTTTCACTGGAGCAGTTTGCAGATGTGTGAAGATCAGGCTCTCCAAATCTAAGGCCATGGGCATGAGACAGAGAAGGGTCGAGTGCCTTCTCCGGTTCAGGGAAGAGATCCTGCCCCAAGTGGAGGAGTTTAAGGGTCCCATGGTCTTGTTCACAAGTTCTCCTCACAAGTGGGAGGAGATCCAGAGGGAGACCCGGGACATGCTGGAGGGACAACATTTCTTTGCTGGCCTCAGCATGAGATTTGCCTGGATGAGCTGGACAATTAGCTGTTGAGAGAGAAGTCTGGGCCTCTGCTAGCCTGCTGCCCCCGTGACCTGACCCCAGATTAAGTGGAAGAAGATGGATAGATTAAAAAGTAATAATAATAATTTAAAATATTTCATTTTCACAAACTGGTTTCAGGTCAGTGGAGTTGGGCAGGATGTGGCTCGGATGTGGGAAATGGCCATCCAGCATGCTCTTATGCCAGCCGTCTCCACAGGAATTTGCCACAATTCCCACCGAAGTGGGCACAGTAAGACACTGATCAACATAAGACCAGCTCACCTGCATGTATTTTATGAATTAAAAATGTAAAAGACTAAATGATTATGAACTTTGTTAAACAACCAATGCCTAAAGCTTTAAGACTCATGTCCTTGTTAAGGTTAAGTATTAACTGTTGCACAATAGATAAAGGACAGCGTAGGACAGGATACCTTCAGTGAATCATCATTTCAGTAACAAAACTAGCCATGATACTGAATAACAGGTGTGAGACTCTAAATTTACCCTCATCATTTCTTCACGATTTTGAAGATATGGAAAAAATACAGCAAAGAACTGACATGAGTGAAACAGTTGTTGTCTTTCATCATCACTCTGAAAAGGTCATTTTGACCAGCTAAGAGTCCATCAGTCTGCAGCGACAATGTGTGTCCAGCAGAGCTCACGCTGTGCAACAGTCACTTAAACCTCAACATATGGACAAGTAAGAAAAACAAACCAATACATAAATATCTCTATCAAAAACAAATACATTTTAATCAGATAGAAAAGCCAGTGCATAATGCACAGTGCTCCTTTTGATGATATCATCTAGGTTAAGTTCACGTTCACCACCAGCATTTCTCATCAGTAACAACACTGCTTGCAGTACTCTGGGAACCCCATCATGGTTACCAGTTGAGTGTATTTAGAACATTAAGAGTCAATCCAACTGGTAGAAAACTCTGAAGACAAGAAAAGGTGCAATTTTTGACACTTAACTAATAGCTTTGAAATATTCCAACTGTAAATACTAATATTGTGATGAGGATTTGTTTGCAGTATGTTGTATCACTCTAACCACAACCTGAGTTATAGGCTGCGGCGACCTTTACAGAGCTGTGTGTGAAAGAAAACTCACATCACAAGGGCTAAAGTATTAGCCATAATGTCTCTAAAAGGAGAACAGAAATTAGGAAGACATTTAGATAAAAACGTTGCTTCTGAAAACTAATCACTTGAAAATTGAAGTTATGTCGTTTGTACTGCAAATCCGTGTATTGTTCACTAGTTAGGTTTTCCATTTCAAAATAAAATAAAAAATAAATAATCAGGTGCAGTTTTTTGGGAAACTAAAACAACGGCCACAATTTTTGTCACTTTAAAGGTAAAAGTGAAGAGAAGCTGTACATTTTGGGACATTTTTTTATACGTTCTGATTTCTGGCTTGAAGTCATGACCTGAACTCCAGGCGCATGTTTTCATTTCACACTTTAGAGGCAGCACCAGTCTCATCCTGTTTGTCTGTGGGAGTCGACCCATTTCAGTAGCAGTTGATGATATTACAGGAACAAACTGATAATTGTATGATTTATTTTAAACTGTTAATGATTGAAGCAAAACCCAGTGGACTTTAAATTAGTTTGATTTTACATTTAGCTTTAAAACACTGAAAATCTAAAGAATTTGTTTTGAAACTGTTAGCAGAATCAGTTTTCGGCACAGCGTTCAACGTGACACCATGAGACTCACTCGGTTTGGCTTTCGTGTTGTTCCCCCTTTGTTTGAAGGACACACCCTTTATTGTACACGAGTGTGTTCAATTAGACAAGTCACGTGATGTGACGCACAATAATCCTATAATGATAAAAACAACAACAAATGAGAGCACAAAACATTCATAATGTCAACAGAAACCAAACAACGAACTAAACACTGACTACTGAACATGGAATGTTTTCTCAGTTTAACTTTCCATTTAAATCCATCCTTTATTCTAATTTAACTAAAATGCCAGGCTGAAGTTTGAGAACGAATAAATAAAGGACTTCATGTGAATGCATCTGAAGTAAAATATTGTAGCACTGAAGAACATGCACAAATAGAAAATCATCTCCGTGGTAAATGACTTGGATACAACTGTTCTTGTTCAAGCTGAATCCCCCTGCAGGGTCTTTGCTCTCCTTAGACTGACAATGCCCACTCAAAGCCCATCAGAGATATTTAAAGCTTCGGTGACGTCAAACTGTTCATGACTAATCCTTCCAAAGAGTCAGACCGAGGTTGCTTGTTGAACTAAAACAGTCGTCTACAGGCTTCAGGTGTATGATTTAAACAGATTAAAATTTTGATTAAACATCAGATCACTGCCAGAGGAAATGAGAAACGACAGTTTTAACGTTTAAGGGTTGAGTTACATGGTCATTCTTCCCTTTTTGACTGATAAGTTGCACCAAGAACTGAATTTTCTTTGATAATGAGTCAGTGTGACAGTTTGGCTCCATTTCTGTTCTGATCATCTTTGTTTCTGATCAACAGAGGAAATTTCCATCAGTATTTCAGTCTCCAACTGTCAGATCCAGGAAAATGTGGTAAGAAGACTCACACACACAAACGCGCACACACACATGCAGACGCATACACACACAAGCATTTGCAAGGTTACAGAGTTGATGGATTTGAATCAATTATGCTTTTTGCTTCCACTGACACTTTTCAGATTTTTGCCGTTGTGTCAGCATGGGTTTATGTAACTGAAATGTATATTAAAAGAAAAAAGCTTGCAAGCTGCCAAGAACATCATGTCATGTTTCCATGCAGACATGCACCCTTACCATCTCCAAGGTGAGCAAGTATCAAGCACATCAAATGGAGATTACTGTGATTACTCACTCAGCTACATGGTTTCCATAGAGACTATGGTAATTAGACCACAAACTATGAGGAGGAGGACGAGGTTTATAATATTGTATTCCTGTCGTCTTTGCCTGAGGTGTGATATTAGCCTTTCTGTGAACAGGGAATGAAATGACAGCGATTACGGACAGCAGAAGCAGGAAATATTTTCTAGTTTCAGACTCAAAGCTGATATTGATCTGTGATGCCGTGTTGTGACACGCTGTAAGGCACAGCGCTGTCTCTGGGCTCCAGTCCAGTCCTGGATTCATTCCTAAATCTGGGAAGCTCTCTTTATTTGAAGCAACTTTTTCTTAATTTGTAAACACGTGAAATTGTTGAACTTCTTAAAATCTGAGTCGAGTTTGGTGATGTTGTCGTTGCAGATCAAAGGTATGACCTAATATCACAAAACAGTATGGATTCCTCACAATACACAGAACGCATCTAAAATCCTTTCCGCCATTATCCTCCGTGCTCAGATGCAAAGGCAAATAGCATCTGAGATTCTGATCATTCTTCCATCAGTAGGACCAAAGCAACAGTGACCAGTTTACAAAATGATCTGCCAAACACACGAGTAAATGAAAGCAGCCAGTACAGAACGACTGGAGCAAAGTACCAACATGAGAGCAGTGTTCGGTGTTCTCTGCACTCAGGCTGTAACATAAAAATAATACAAAATCAGGTGGATCTTTGTTAAATGATCAGTAATTATAGAATTATGTGTGACATAACAACCAGTTCAAATGAACTGACGCTGAGCTCCATGTCTGAAGACGAGCAATTAGAAGTGAAGCCAGAAAAGCAGCAATTAAACAAACAGATCCCATGGTAACCGTCCAAACCACCGTAACCCTAGTGACCCCACCCTGTCCTCTCCAAAACTCCCACCTGGTAAACAAAATGTGACTCTGGTTTTTGGTTTGATTGATTTTCTGCCAGTTTCACATGTATACACATCATTTTGTCGATTTAATATTGTTCTGGAAGTTTTGAAGTATTGACACCGGACTCACTATTGTTGGCATATTTCTTTAGTTTTTCTACATCTGCGTATCTATAAGTGCAATTTCTTTTTTTAGACAAATTGCATTTGGGTTTTTTTTGTTGTTTTTTTTGCTTTATTCTTATTCTGTTATTGATACGTATTGGTTGCTATTGATAGTTACTGCTAATGTTATATAAACAAATTTACCAATTTTGAAATCTGTCTCATTTATGTTTTTATGGCTTTTGCAGTACAGACGTAGATTAAATTGGTTTAGAAAAATGAAAGTTTAGTCAACACATTAAAGCTGTCCAATCTGCTACTGATCTTGTATTCAAACGTTTTTCTCCAGGACATCAATTCAGTTTATCAGATTTTTCCAGATGAAGTTCTTGGCTCTGGACAGTTTGGTATTGTTTATGGAGGTGAGTTACACATTCATCCAAACCCTTGCTGTTGTATATTTTAAGTAATTGTTTCCACTGCAAAGAAGTAGCTTAATCAAATTTGTTTGGAGTTTGTTGTTTTTGATGTTTTTTTCAAAATGTGATATCACAACACTGGGTGCAATATATGGCAGAATATTAAGTTATTGATAGTCATTGTCTGAATAATAACTGAACAACTGCATGTTTAATTCGCCTCATTGATTGATTATCATGAGGCAAATTATGAATATCATTGGTAGACATGTTACAATGGTTCACATCATGATACCAGATATCTCAGTTCTCACCCACACTTGGAAGCCCAATGGGTATTGCTGGCCTCTCATGTATTGTTTGAAATTGTAAAAACAAAGTTTGGTCACTGGGCATTGAGCTCTGATTATCATCAGGATGTAGGGAACATGGTTGCACTTGTACTGTTACAATATATCTATTTAGACCACACTTAACTTTGTGCACTTTCAGCGCAGCCATGCTGTTCCAACTCTGTAATATTACAACACATAAAACCCCATTTTTCAAGCGTTCACCAACTGACATTGTAATAAATACTCTAAAATTGAAAAATATGTTTTGCTTCTTTTTGATTAATCTGGTACAGTGACTCACAGAGATCTCAGAGATCTTGCTCAGTCAAGGTTTTTTAAGTTGTGGCCATATTCGGAGAATTTAATTCCAAATTTCTTACCATAAGCATTCCATGACTGAACAATAAGGTTCAGTCTCTAAGTCTGGGTGGCAAACAAAAAAAAAAGATTGTATAACATTACAACACTGGGTCTTACAGTGCTATCATATAAAATGCTAAATGAATTGCCCACCCCTGTGTTAAGTGTTGCCCATGTTGGGTGTTCACAGTGCTTAATGTGGGCAGGTTATTGGCATGAATTAGCTATTATTACAGCCTGTAGGCTAGACAGGTGACTAACTTACCCTGTTTAATGCCACCTACTCATGTAGTGAAATCTGATTTTATCCTTTAACAGTTGTTTCCCTAGTAACAGAAAAATGATTTATAACTTTGATGATACTTTGTGAAACACAGGAGAAATAATTCACCCAACAAAGTCCTTTCCATGATCCGACAAACACTTTTTTTTTTTTTTTTTTTTTTTTTTGGTTCACTAACTGTACCTGTTTGACCCGTAGAAACTAAAAGTGAAATGCCTAGAGGCCATGTTGTATATGACTGAACATTATCTCACCTTTAGAGATATATGTGAGGATTTTCCTTAAACTATTATCATACATCGAAGGTCAAGTTTATTCATACCCTTGGCCAATTACAATTTTTAAATATTTCATTCAACCATAAAGTTTGGTTCTAATTGGAAAAGAGACAGGCATCTCTCAAAAGATAATAGAGCGATGTGAAACACTGTTTAACCGTTGTTTCGATAAAGAGACCTTGTCAGTTGCTTGCTGAGCATCACTGAAGGTCGAAAACTAAAATCTCCCCTGGTGTCATTCTAACCTTCTCTATATGCTATATTTCTGTACTCCCAGTATTAGCCAACAAAAATGAAAGTGCTTCATTTCTGTTTAATTGTTTACAAAAGTTATTGTTATATTTGTTACAGGTAAACATCGGAAGTCTGGTCGAGATGTTGCTATCAAAATAATTGATAAACTTCGTTTCCCTACTAAGCAGGAGAGCCAACTGCGCAATGAGGTGGCCATCCTGCAGGTAACCTCACAAACACACGATGGCTGTTCAGACCCGACACTGACATCTGCCCTGGAAATCACTGGAACTGGTCAAAATCTGTCTTCATTAGCATTAGCGGTCTGGCTAAATATAAAGAAGTAGCTCCTTCAAAATCTTTGTCTAGGAAGGAGATTTGGTTAAGCACAGCAACACCTGTCCAGGTGGGACTTCTTTAGAGAAAAAAGAACATAACATAAAGGTGATGGCAGTAATAACTGAAGATAACGCATAAATGGAAAATAGTAAATGAAACACCAACATATCTTTTTCATCCAATTTATTCTCCTGTTTACTTTATCAATAGTAAATAAAATGCTGGGTCCTTTATTTGACAGGTAAATATCTCAATTAAAACACACTCTTAAGATTTTAAACTTTCATTGGTCTCCCAGCAACCAGCAAATTCAAGTTTATGTGCTTTATCAAGCTCCACTATAACTATTGTACATTTCTCCAAACTGGGAGCCCTGATGCATAGAGCAGAAGATGCCAACCTACCATGACCTATGTGGGAAGGGCCACACTATGGTGCAGCATTTACTGACGTGGAGAGTGTGGATCTTTTGGTGCAGTTGCATGATAAGATCTTTTTGGGTAAAACAAAGCGGGCACAGGACCCATACAGCAGGGCTGGGTGATGTGGCTGAAAAACATACCATGATATAAGTATTTTATAAATACTGCCAAACTGGTGGTGGTGACATTTCCTCTTTTATTCAGACTTTCCTCCTAAGCTGTCTGTATTATGTGAACTCCACAGACTCCACACACCCTGCCCACTGCTGGCTGAGGTTTCATAGCTGAGTGTCCCGATTGCCTATATTTCTCATTCTATATCCCTTCATTTCCCACAATCTGCAGGGAAACTAGCAGGCTTGAAGAGCTGGTTGGGCATCTAGCTCTGTTTCCACCAGGGCAGCCACCACACAACTGTTGGTGCTCCGCAGACAGTGGCAGTCATGCTGTGTCATACTCTGTTTGTGCTGACTTTCAACATTAACACCTTGGTGTCACATTACAAAACAGTTCACTGTGACTGCAGTTTCCTGCTGAGTAGCTTCCCTTTCATGTCAGTGAGCATACGCAATCTTAGAAACTTACCTTTACATTTCTGGTGGACATCCACTTTGAATACACATAGACCACTGAGGAGTTAAACATGCTAAAGCATGACGGCACATCATGAAACTGGTAGTGCTCATGTTACTCAGCAGGTTTTGCTAGCTTAGCAAAGAGTGAGTTAGTGGATGCCACCAACCTTTAGCTGGCAGTGAGAGGTTGAGCGATTAAAGCATTTCCTCTGCCTACATGCTCCAGAATGCTGTGATTCTGGATCGAGTTCAATCAACATTCTGACATATTTTCTGTCTCTAAAGTGACGTTTAGTCAACAATCTTTATGCGCTGCCGGTCAGTGTGAGCATGATGAGATCATGGCCTGTTAGTCAGAATAGTCAGTCCTGTTTCAAATTCAGACTTGGAGGATTGTGGATCAGCAGCCAATAAGGACAAGACTAATGCTGCATAAATCATCACCATGACAAGGAACCAGCAAAACATTCCTATGGAAGTTTGGTGCAAGTTCCATAAACCCAGGGAACTTTCCCATTCCATCATGCATTATTAATGTTTCATAAACATGTATATACATGTATGGTGAAGAAATTACTGGTATAAACTCTCATTTGAAGGTGAAACACTGATGATTGTTGTTGCCCAAGTGGAGATGAATCTAATCTGTCTTCTTTTTCGTCAGAGTTTGCACCACCCAGGCGTGGTCAACTTAGAGTGCATGTTTGAGACGCCGGAGCGAGTGTTTGTGGTGATGGAGAAGCTCCATGGAGACATGCTTGAGATGATCCTGTCCAGTGAGAAAGGTCGGTTACCGGAGAGAATCACCAAGTTCCTGGTCACACAGGTAATACTATACTATCATCAGCATTACCCATAATCATGAGCTTGAAGTTACTTAACTAAACTTTATGAAATAAAGACAGTCTTTTCAACTTCAGTATTAGGAAATCCACAAATCAACAGGAGGATTTCTTGAGTATTTCTAACACAAACAGACCGAGGATGTGCTATGAGCCTTTGGGCTGAAAGCAGCACTGACTCCACTGAGCTCTGAACCAATCGTTATTATTACAGGCAGTCCATGCAGCAGGTGGAGCGAGTACAAGTTGAAAGTGTTGAAATCTGTCTGCGGTGCGCTGATGCTCACAGCCAGTAGAGGCAGGTATGATAATGCTCCAGATAGAGCAAAAGGCAAACAGTCAGTGTGGAAACAGCTTTTCCACAACGCCCACTCTGCTGTCTGCATTGTCCGCTGTCACAATGTCCTCCTCCTTTTTAGCTCCAGAGGTAAACCTGCAGATTTCTGGGGGAGTTTTGGCAGCATTTGATCTGAAAACCACATCATCCTGACCAAGAATAAAAATGATTGATTATTTCTACAATAATCTGTCTCACATTAGGTTATTTAACAATGTTTTCTCCATCGACTTTATTTGTAACAGAAAGATGTTAGAAAGTCAGCCTTTTGTCTGTCATCACACAACATATAAGCAGTGGAGATGTTCACTCTGTGGACAGGATTTATGAATTTTATGGATACAATCTGCTTTGTGAATCCAATGCAAAAATAAAGCAAACACTTGCAGAAAAGCCGATTGAAATGGCTCTGCTTCTGGAGTTCCCTCAGAGTCTTCCTGCTGGTTCTTGTGATGCTCTTTCTCTGTGTTCTGCTTCCTCATCAGATCCTGGTGGCTCTGCGGCATCTCCACTTCAAGAACATCGTCCACTGTGATCTGAAGCCTGAAAATGTGCTTCTGGCTTCTGCAGACTCTTTTCCTCAGGTAATTTGTGTTCATATATGAGTACAAATTATGGTTGGGCTGCATTTAACCTTAACTAAATTAGCTAAATTAAATACAGTTTTACAGTCTTAATATGACATAGAAAATACGTGAAGGCAACAATAAATAACACCAATCCACTATCTTTGTTTTGCAAGTTTAGAGATGGTGCATAGCTATTTATTCAAAGTGTAGTCTTCTTGTTGTGATTTGGCATTATTATTTTTTATTTCTAAGTTATTTTCTTAGCTTCTTTAATTTTAGAAGACGTCTTCAGGTTTGGTCTTTATGTTTCCTGGGAAAGAAATCCTTCTTATTTGAAGGACTCATGAAAACAGAGGCATATATTGTAAAATGTTGAGAGGAAATGCTTCTTGCCCTTGTTTAGCTGAATGTTTCTTTCACAATAGCTACACCGAATAACATCCTGCAAACATTTCTGAAAGTCTAAGAATTTTTTTCTAAAACCAGGTCAGTACCAGAAAACCAACCTGTTTACCAAGTTGGCATTTTGATGAGTAAACAGAAACTTAAATAAATACTTTATGTGCATATGGAAGCTTGTCCAGAAGCCCAGGCTTCATGTCATGCCACTGTGTTTGGGACAGAGACTGGAAAACACCCGTTATGCCCAGTCACTTGCCAGCAGGGAAGGGAATTGCTGAGCAGTGGGGGTTTTGTAAAACCACCCTCCTCTCATTTGTGCTGCTGCAGGTAAAACTTTGTGACTTTGGATTTGCTCGGATCATTGGTGAGAAGTCCTTCCGGCGCTCAGTGGTTGGCACACCAGCATACCTTGCTCCTGAAGTCCTGAGAAACAAAGGCTACAATCGTTCTCTGGACATGTGGTCAGTGGGAGTCATCATCTACGTCAGGTAGGTGTCAGAAAAATGACACGTGATCAATGGTCGAATTCATGTTTGGATTCAGAAAGATGCATATCTACAGAAAGAATATGTTTCTCATCATAGCAATATTTTGCATTGTAACTATAATGTGTATCTGCAGTTTAAGTGGGACATTCCCTTTCAATGAAGATGAAGATATTAATGATCAAATCCAGAATGCTGCCTTCATGTACCCTCCACACCCGTGGAAGAAAGTCTCTCAGGAAGGTATGTGGTTCTACAGAACCTCTTTGGTGGTTTAGGCTGGATATCAGGTTCACCATACCACAGTTTATTTTCCATAAAATTTTCAGTAAAAAAATGAAAGAAAACAAAACCTGAGCTCACTGGAGCCAGGTCTGAAAGAAAGGTGACATAACATCAGAATAAAAACTACTGAGAAAATCAGACAGTTTGAAATAAGAAGTCAGATTTAGACAGATTTAACTTCAGACGGGGAGAAAAAACAATTATGAATCTATATAATAATATATACATTTAATCATAGAAAATATTTAAGATTTTCATCACATTTTAATTGTTTTAGATGTATTTGTTATCACATCTAAAAGCTGAAGAATGTAAGTTTTATCAACATACATAGTTACACGCTGACTTTTTGGACATGCTCACTTCTTTCTGAGACAGTCCAGCACATAACAGCAGGGTGCAAGATGCTGGCAGGGAAAGCGTACATGGAACGACATAACCAAGTGGCAGGCATAG